TTCCCTTTATTTCCTCCAAAATGAAGATTACATAAACAGAATAGTAAAATATAAGAATTAATCAACATATATACATACATGGACATTGAAAGAGTACAAAGGTATCGTAATTTTAATGTGTACATAAATAACTATATACTCCTTTATTTCCTCCAGAATGAAAATTATAATAGATTATAATATTATATAATATAATATAGAGCATCACAATACAATCATCAATTAAACATCAATTATCAAAATTAGTATACGTATATATTACAATAAATTTATGTTGTTAACATATTAGGGCATGTAATTTAAGCTAGCAGTATCAGGCCCTTTTGATTAATTGACAATAATCAGCATAGATATAGTAAATGTGTCATTTGTAATATGATATTATCATTCGAAAAAATAGTTTAACAGACGTCATACAGAACTCTTCTAGGTCTGAGTTACACAAATTGTAAGAAAAATTCCTCCCGATCAGAACATGAAATAGTTGATTTTCGTTTAAGTCGTGCAAATATACACTGAACAGTATATCGCTAATATTAATGATATTACACCATAATTCGTCCCTTAATTCGTCAGTAGAACTACACTGCAGAACTATGTGGATGGTAATTAACATCTTCATACATTGTAAAACTGACCACATTTATGACATAATTCATTATGAGCCAACCACCTCATTGTAACAATTAATTTCATTATATAATAAACAGCTTCCCTTTTTCATGGGAACTTTTTACATAAGTTCCACAGCTGGTGTGGAACTAACTTGTCATGTATTAAAACAAACCTAGAGAAGTCAGTATTATTACACATCCTATTTAACCATACTTTTTCTTCATATCCATGCACAGCTTTTTCAACCTGCATTTTCCAATACTAGGAAACCATCCCTCATTTATATACTTCTGAACAGGATCATATAAATTATACTTTCTTAGAATCCTTAGGATATCATACGCAAAACCATACCCGACATTATTTTCTGCATCCTGACTTACAATAAAAAGTATTGTAAATAATATACGAGACGAGAGTGTCGTACTATGTAATCTGCATATCCTACCGAAAAACAATAACTTTTTAGTATCTATATATCCTTCTATACTTGTCCAACCCAGGAGGCCAGTACACACATCGGTTCTTGTTCGGGTTGCGAAACCCTGAATGGATTTGGCAATAACGTGTTACGCCCTCTCTAACATTAATATTTCTGTGTTTGTTATATTCCAAAGTTCACAGCCGTACAAGGCTGAAGCATTCACTTTAGTTTTAATTATTCTACCTGTAGTTAGAGGGTTTAAAGCACTAGGATGACAACCAGAATGAATTAGACTCATTGTTCCACTACGAAGCTTATTACATGCACGAAGTGTGCGTTCCATACTATTGAATTTATTATTTAACATTACTCCAGCATGCGTTACGTTGTCAACTTCCGGAAGGGGGTCAACTATAAAGATTAAAGATCGTATTTGCATCAATTTTCTCCTTGAAAATGTTACAATGCTTCTTTTTGTCAAGAAAAAATAAATCTCCATTTTTTGCTGTAGTTCTCGCATAACTGTAACATATGTTGTAAATCAGTACGCTTAGTGCTCACTAGACAGATGTCATCCGCTTGGGTTGGAATATTTACTCTTAAATCTGCAATAATTGCCCCTTTCTGACATTGTTCAACCGTATTTAACAAATCATTAATGAATACTAGGTACATTTTTGCCGACAATGCGCTCCCTTGTAAGATTCCTCTCTCCATCACAATCCATCTGGATAGAATGCCATTACTCACTACACAACTAGTTACATTTGTATAAATTGCTTTCATAACCATCCACAACTCCGATTTCAACCCCATCTCGGAGTTGTGGATGGTTATGAAAGCAATTTTAGAAAATTATGTTCATTACATGTACGCCAGAGGCTCTCAATAAAACAAATGCCCATCTACCGTCAAAGGGCAAGGAATATTGTGTATTGCAGTGCCACACTGAGATACACAAGAAAACGTATGGGGTAGATTACTTTTCGCACTAAGTACCCTACTTTTTGTTACCTTGTAATGGATCTTTCATCCATTTTTGGCCGGGTGATATAATGCAACGGTCAGACTGGGATTCGAACCCAGTACCTTCGAACTCTAGATGGGCTAATCGGTCGCCGACAATCGACTTTGTCCAGTTGCCCTTCATCTGCATGAGTGCCGGATGTTTTACTTGATTTTCTCCTAGGTATCAATCTTTATTTCTAAAGTTTCATTTCTACGGTGCCACCTCACTCTAGTGATACTCGATCCAGACCAGAAAAAACTTTAAAATCATGTGACAACAGAACATTGGTGGTGGTGGGGGGTAGTAATTAATAATTCTGCTAAAACTGCACACAACTCTCACAATAGCATGGGCTTGTCCGAATAAGAAGGTGCTATTGTGGAGATGATATTGTTAGTAGCTCAATGGCTAACATAATAACAGGAACAGGTCAGACTTGTAAAAAGTATATTTATTATTTCAAAAAATTGCTGAAAATGATATTTATGTGAAAATAGCAATAATATCAGATTATTATAGTAGTAGTTCGTAATGATTAGACAGCTAATTGCATATACATGTATAATATATAAAACGTAAAAAATGTGTGCGCAATGCCCTCAACACAAGAGATCGATATATTGGTGCCCTCAACATCAATCACTTAGAAACCTGAGATATGATACTTCCTTTTTCTGTGCTATCTATTATTGCTTTTTATTAATATATGTGATCATTCCTTTACTTGTAATATAACTGCTATTGTTATTTTACATATTGTTATTTTACATATAAACAAGAAGCATGCTGTAACTACATGTATGGTAAGTGGCTCATGAAGATAATGCTAATAAATCACTGATACACAAATAGGAACCGTGGTTATAGCAGTTTACAATAATTTTGTCCCAAATAAGTGTAACCACGCTTACAGTATATCTTGTTTCGGAGTTTGTAAGCATTTCTTATATGGTAACGGTACATTTAGTCGGGAAAAAAAGTTTAACAGAACCTTTTTCTCAACTGAATATCACCATATTTATACTGCTTTAAGGTATATATTGTCGCGATCGCATATAACCATGTTTAATTTATGAATTTATGAACAGAGCAAGAAATTAGGTTTGAGCACAAAATCCATACTTGAGCATGAGAACGGTTTCATGAATACGGGCCCAGGTATACAGCAGTTAACAATACAGTTTGTTCCGACTGCCTTTAACCAGGTATACAGCAGTTAACAATACAGTTTGTCCCGACTGCATAAAACCAGGTTTACAACATTTAACAATAAAGTTAGTCCCAACTCTGTATAACCAGGCATACAACAGTTAACAATACAGTTTGTCCCGACTGCATATAAACAGGTTTATAGCAGTTAACAATAAAGTTTGTCCCAACTATGTATAACCAGGCATACAACAGTTAACAATAAAGTTAGTCCCAACTCTGTATAACCAGGCATACAACAGTTAACAATACAGTTTGTCCCGACTGCATATAAACAGGTTTATAGCAGTTAACAATAAAGTTTGTCCCAACTATGTATAACCAGGCATACAACAGTTAACAATAAAGTTAGTCCCAACTCTGTATAACCAGGCATACAACAGTTAACAATACAGTTTGTCCCGACTGCATATAAACAGGTTTATAGCAGTTAACAATAAAGTTTGTCCCAACTATGTATAACCAGGCATACAACAGTTAACAATAAAGTTAGTCCCAACTCTGTATAACCAGGCATACAACAGTTAACAATACAGTTTGTCCCGACTGCATATAAACAGGTTTATAGCAGTTAACAATAAAGTTTGTCCCAACTATGTATAACCAGGCATACAACAGTTAACAATAAAGTTAGTCCCGACTCTGTTTAACCAGGTTTATAGCAGTTAACAATAAAGTTTGCCCCGACTGTGTATAACCTGGTTTACAGCAGTTAACAATAAAGTTTGTCCCGACCACGTTTAACCAGGTTTATAGCAGTTTACAGTATATTTTGTCCCAACTGATAATACAAATGTTTACATCAGGTTACAGTATATTTTTTCCCGACTGCGTATAACCAGGTTTTTATATAGCAGTTTACAGTATATTTTGTCCCGACTGCATATAACCAGGTTTTTATATAGCAGTTGATAGTATATTTTATCCTGACTACGTATAACCAGGTTTTTATATAGCAGTTTACAGTATATTTTGTCCCGACTGATAATACAAATGTTTACATCAGTTTACAGTGCTATTTATGCCCGATGAATATAACCATGTTTGTAGCAGGTTAAAGTACGTTTTGCCCCCGGCTTAGTATAAACTGCAGTCTATCATGATATCATAGTATAAAATCATCAACACTTCATGCAAAATCATCTTATTACATTTAAATGCATAACCTAAAGTATATTGCAATACTTAACACATTTTCTGCATAGGATATGTACACATTTAAAAAAATATCCTTCAAGATAAAAACATGTATAGATCGAGTTTGTAAATTTCTAACATTTTCAATAAAGACATTGGCAAGTGATACATACATTTTGGTATAAACAATTTGTGATGATGCCATATCAGTATTCTCCCTGTACTAACATACACAAGTGTAACCTACATGTACATGTATTCGGGTATGGATTCATGGGACACCAACAACATCATAAAAAGGCTGAAAGTATGTATACAATTATCAGCTAACAGTATTAAAAGTGTACCTGACAATAGAGCAATAATGACCTCCCTCACAATAGTAAACTTTCTCCCCTCCTTAACAACTCTTCCCTTCCCACAACAGTATACACACCCTGTTTTACAAATACACTGTAGTAGCAACCCCTTTCCCCAAAAGAGCAAATGTATCTCTACAAAGCAGAGCAGTTACTCTCATTACTCACAAATGAGCAATGACTTTCCCTCCCCACAAAAAGCAAAACAACTGCCCCCCCCCC